CCCCCCCCAGCAAAAAAAAAAAACAAAAACACCAAAGGCCTTTTCCTCGAAAATGCAAAGACTCAAGTTTGTGGTCATTCTTTTCCTATTAATCTACTGCCCCCTACTGATGCGGGAACCATTCAGTCCTTGTGACAACATTTTTTTTTTTTTTTTTTTAAGTAGCAGTTGTATTGCTTTTCATCTCGAAAATCAAATAAGACGCGCCTATTTTTCATTTCTGCTTGATGCCAAAATGCACCTGGATGGAATCGGTTTTGATTGAGGAAGGGGGGGGGGCATAGCTAAATGATTAGCTCTGCCATTAATTCCACTCCTCGATGTGGCCGAAGTACACACCTGAGCCCGCAGGCTTTGTTGATGACGCGGCTCTTCCTCACCTGCCTTCCCGTCTCCTCCCTCGCCCTCCTCGTCTTTGTCAGGCTCGCCAACTGCTCGTAAGGGGGTGTCGCTCTCTTCGCGATGCTCCACATCCCAGCTGAGGGCTTTCGGCCCCAGCGACGGCCTCCTCTGGAGCCGACGCCTCTGGAGCACTTTGCGCAAAGAATACAAATCATTGGTTGGTCTCAGTGACGGGGTGTGGTTGCGACATAATCAATCGATGGGGAGGCGGGTAGGATATTGACAATCAATGAAAGGGCGGGGAAACCTTATAAACTGCCGACTCTCCATTTTTGTCGAACTTTTCTGCCATCTTCATTTTGTTCTATTTTTGTTTGGCGGATGTCATTGGTGATGAAATTGTGTGGCATGAACTCATCAAAATCCCGGATTTTATTTTTCCCACTACATCAATATGTGACGTTTTATTGATAAAACAATCCTATGAATGACATCCGTGTATTATTTTACCCGTCCAAGGTTTGGAGACGGTGTCTCATTCAATAACACTCAAAAGCGTCTCCAAACTTTTGACAGGTCGTGTCGTCCAACGTCTTCTATCGCGCTTTGTTTCCACATTTAACCTTCCGTGCCCATTATGGAAATCGTGCCGGTGTCATGTTTTCCGGCTCTTTCCACTTGGCTGCCATTTCCTTGCTCACTGTTTGCTTGGGACGAGTCGTGCTTGCTCGGGCTCGTCTCCAGCTCGGCGCTCATCTGCACACATTGTTCATCGAAGACCGTCTGTCCATCCCCCGTCTCTGCTTTTCCCATTCGACTCCCTCGGCGTCTGCCGCTTCTGCTTAGTCAGTACTTCCTCATCCGGTAACCAGTCTTGGAAAAACAAAACCACGGTTGATTTTTAACGGTATCTTATCCCCACAAATGCAGAAAGCACATACGGATGCGGCAAGGGTTCATCAAGTCGGGTCTCAACCGAGCACGTTTCCCGTCTCGTCGATGTTCGCTTTATGTGTCCGCTGTGCTTCGCCGGTGGCGGTTGTTTCTTTGCGCTCCAGCTCCCGTCTGGCAGATGAAACTTGGCCCTCATATTTTTGGGACGAGGTCGTCCCCCCCCCCCCCCGCCGCCCGTGGATCCACCGGCCTTGTCCGCGACGTTTCTTCTGCTTCCCCTCGTTGACTTATTCTCCGGTTTGGTCGGGATGAACAGAGGGGATGATGGATACGACTCCACAGCGGCGACATTAGAGCCTTGGGGAAAACCGAAAAAGAAAGTTATGCTTCTCTGCGAATTTTGTCTCGGCTTTCAACTCTAAATTGATGATTGGGGGTAACGTTGAAAGGGCAGCAGACGAATAAGCAAAACACATGCCAGCGCTTGTGTTTTGCCAGCTGTGTACCGTTGCCAGAGCGGTGCAGTCGACGGGGAACTGAGGTCTCCTTTGTGCTGTTGTTCAGTTGCTGGCAAGAGCTGTATTTGCCGTGAAGACTTGTGCATCTGGAAGAAAGAAAAAAAAAATAGTCATGCTTTATAGCTTCGCGCCTTCTGCCATGCAACCTGTGTCCAATTACACCCGCCGCGTTTTGCCCAATGTATTGTCTCAGCCGGGATTGTGCTGAAGTCACACCTGTGACAAGGAATCCCACCAGTGAGCCAGGACAGCCCGAAGCAGCTCTTCTTGCCCTGCTGAAAGTCGGGGGGGGGGGGGGGGGGGGGGGGGGGCGTCGCGGTACTCGCAGCAGGAGATGATTCGGGCCACCTTGATTCCGTTCGCATACAAGGAAGCGCCGAAGGGGAAACCTCGGTGCCTTTAAAAGATGAAGTTGAATTGCTCTGAAAGTTGAAAGTGAGTCAGGACAATGTGGCGAGGACGCGGTGACGCCCAATGTCGATTGAAAATACCAAATGGCTTGTCACCCAAGGATTTTTCCGTATTTAACGCACGATAAGGCGCACCTGAAAGCATTCCATTTCCTCAAAAGCCGACAGATATATGAAAACCGTTTTAAAATGGGCCATTCATTGAAGGTGCGCCGAATGGCGCAGAAAATACGGTAATTGGACGAACGTGATGTCGTGTCATTTCCATTCCGTCCGGTCGGATCAAACTCTTCAACCACAAGAAAATACCTCCCGGAGCCACGAAGCCCTTGAAGACCCAGATATTCTCCCCTCCGTTGACTTGTTGGACCATTTTCAGTTCATCTTGACTCGACCTCGTCCGCGAACGCCGGTGACCTTGTCCGATGTCCGTCATGGTCACGGTGACGTTGGATTTCTTGGCCTCTCTCTGCGCATCGAGGTCGCTCTAAAAGATCGGCGGGCGGTTAGCGAAGACGAGGCTCCGTTTTCACCGGCGAGTGCAAAGACTTACTTTTTTGTCGGCGGGAGCCGCACTTTTCTGTGAGCCGAATGAAGAGAACGATCGTCTTCTTCTGTGGTTGAGATGAGGGCAGGACTGACTCAGATTTCCACCGATTGAGGCGAGACTCGAGGCCTTCCTGCGGATGGCTGGCAGGTAAATGTCATCTTTGTCAGCACTTTTAAGAGTGCAGCGTTCCATCCTCGCGCTGTCGGTACACATGCAGAAGAAGTTCAGGTTTTGTCAGTCTCGTTACATCGCTAAACGTTTATTTGCGCCGTCGCTGGAAAGACGTAACTAGCGAATACGTCCTTTGCCGAGAGCGCTCTGAGAGATTTCTGTTTCATAAGTTATGTCAATAAATGTGCGATGAAAATACATTACGTGACGGACCCTCAAATGATCGAGTGTGTTAGATCGCTTTAGCGTTGCTAAAATAGCCGACGCTAAGTGTGAAGATGAGACGGGTGGATGAGTTTGCTTTTGCTTTGGGCAAACCGATTGTTTTTCCATCTCGACCTGACTGAACTGAGATCTGAAGAACACGTCAAAAGTAGCTTTCAAGTTGCGTGTTATTTTTTATTATTTATTTATTTTTTTGGACAGTATGTGAAGAACACTTACCGGAGTATCTTTGCCTCCACTTCGAAATAAGAGATCCTGCAGGAGTATTTGGCTGTGTCGTCTGATCCTTCTAAGTGATTCCTTCTGGTAGGACTCCATGACATCGGGCCAACTGATAAAAGCGGACAAGTGATGAGATGAAGGACCTCAGAAGGAAAGTATTTGGTAAGAGTAAAAGAGTATCTGTGATCTATGAAGATTAGATTTCAAATGCCAGGTTTTAATTTTTTTTTTTCAACCAGCCCAATCTGTTCGTTTACTCCCATTCATTTGAAAATGATTTTGAGTCCGTATGAGAGAATGTAGCTGAAGACATTTTTGTTTTCCTTCTTCTTTCCGCTGTCCACTTTGGTAGACACCATCAAAATTTAGGTTCATATCAGATCAGCTTGGAGAAACGGTGTTCAAACTTGACAGGAGCTCGACAACTCAATTAATAAACCCGCGTTCGTATTTGAGTCTCTGTGCTGCTCTCAGTAAAGAGAGATTGCCTCTCGCTCAAACTTGATTGCAATACAAAAAGTAAATCTAGCCTGAGGAACAAGGTTAAAATGATTTTTGCTGTTTTTTTTTTGTTTTGTTTTGTTTTTTTCCTCGCCACTGCACGCTCACACGCCTCCCATTGAATTCCCCAGTGTAACCCAATCACTGTCGTCTGCTTGGCTGATTGCCTCCACTATACGAGTCACCTTGCAGATTAGTGTCCAGTGAAATGCATGAGCGCACTTCTGATGGCCGCTAGATGGCAGGAAAAAAACCCAGAAAAAGTATGTATGAATCTCCTTTGGAGTCAATGCAGTGTATGTTTAGGAGTAGACATGATGCAGTGAATAAAAGCAGCGCAGGACGTCCAATATGTTTCCTAAACTGCAATCAAGGGTGACTTTACGTTGGGTATTTATTTTATCGTTTGGCCCTACAAAGTCCAATTAATCTTGACATCTAAATCCATCCAGCATCGTTTTTGTCAGCAGGTCCAAGTAAATCACATGATTTCGCGTACAACAGGTTTCAAATGCCAGCGTTAACTACACAGGAATGCCGTCTCGAAAGAGGCTTTAACTTTTTAACCGGGCTCATTAAAAAAGACACCGAACAGGGAACCGCCCTGTTGCCTTTTCAGG